ATTTGGCAACTAAGTGATAACAATCAAGTAGGAATTTTACTCAGAAAAGAACTCAATGCATAAAATCTGTAAAGAAAAAATTTTCAAGACTTTTTTGGCCGCCAATTTTGTGTACGTAGCTAATGTAATGTCTCTGAAGGATTCATGCACTTCAAGAGACACAATCGGTAGGCATACATGACGTACTCAATGCTCAAGGATTTGCAATGCACTATAGGATGATTTCAAACACAAGCAGCCATTTGCAAGTTTTCCGATGTGAGGGAATCCTTTACAGCAAAGCGAAAGGATAGATTGCTCTCTTTTCTTATGCTGAATGCTATAGAAGCAAAGGTCTTTCGCTATGTAGTTCTGGAAGGACACAATGTCTGAGAAAATAACCGTTATTGATCGTCAACACAGAGAAATGTAGTCGCCATTATGGTAGCCTTTGAATGCAGATGTGTTTTCAGCTGTCGACCAGAATTTTTGGCCACCAAAGATAAAAATTTTAGCCGTAGTGGCGACCATATTGGTCGCAATTTTGAGCCTTTTAGCAATGTATCTAACCAAATCTTATGGATGGGCAATAACTTGGTGTTGGTAAAATGTTCGGACATCATGTCCGATCATGTGAAATTGGCCGGACATATTCAAAATTTGGTCGGACAATGTCCGATGACCGACTGTTATTTCCAGCCCTGCTTACTGTTTGTGACATTTGTGTATCTGCCGTTCCCTTTTAATTTTCGGTCTCTCAACCTTTCGTTATTTCACAAGTGATTCTGAAGGGTACTTTACGCTCTGTTACGAGGAGGAATTTTTAGTACAGTGGAGCTGTTTGGCTGCGCGTTAGCATTTTTTTTAGTGGTCAAAGGCATGGTTTCCAGACTTTCCACTGTTATCTACATGTCGCTTCACAGAGATTGACAGCTCGCATGTGCTGATAATTTCTTTAGGTTCATTTCAGTATTGCAAAATATGTTTTAAGCTCTCTAAGTATTGGCCCTGGAGGGACAAAGTTTGAAATATTCTGTGAACATGTTGCTTACTTGCACTCTATATTATGTTGCAGGACCTGGCTGTTTGATTAGGTCAACTAGAACTGTTTGCAAGTACAGAAAAATGTAGATTCTTGACAGGTCTAATTACTTCATTGATTGATTTGTTACAGGTTAATTGCCAAGGGCGGATAGGCACATCAAAAACGAAGTCTACAGGTTATGCTGTCCCACCCTGATTGTTTCGCTCTTTGAATTATTCAAGTTCACGCTTGCCAAATTTTTTTTTCGTCCTCGCCAGAAGCTTGTTCGCAGGCTAATGCAGACAAGGCAACAAAATACTTAAGAATATTAATAACTTCCATTGCTTAGCCCAGTCCCCCTCTAATTAACTAAATTTGGTTTGTGGATTTTAGGTTGGTGGCATTTTGAGGAAAGCCGGTTTGAAATACTTCAAGTACCAATATGTACTAGATGTAATCCGGTCATCTTGTTTCCTGGCTATTAACGGTGGAGGATTTGTTGTCAATGTCTGCCTTTTAAGGTTTGTCTTTTAGTTTTCTCGTGTTCAGGGAAATAAGTTAAGATCATGATGGGTTGTAAAATTCATCTCGTCATCTCATCTCATTGCGCCTAAGACCGTCACATTCTCAAATGAATTCAACACTCTCTGTTCCATGCTGCCACTTTGGCTACATAATGTCCAAGTCTTCCACCCCACTTTTTTTCTCTGTTTCTCAACAGTCCTTCTCCAAGTAGTCTTCTCTCTCACCCTTCAACCTTCTGACCTCTACCCCAATGCTGTCAAACTATCATTAACACCCTCTCTCCTGAGTATGTGTCCTAACCAGTCCCTTCATTATAATATCATTGTGACACTCACTCACTCAATCCTTTTTGTGCTCTTGGGTACGTAAGGTCATTGCCAGAGACAGCCACTGCTGCCTGTCTTTTGCTTTCTTCCCTATATAAACACTCTGTGGCTGACTCTGTCTGCCTGCATCTCCCTTTCTACTGTCAGTCACCAGGTCTATCTCAGTCTTCCTCTAGCTCTTTTCCTGGGTGGATTCCAGTGCATGGTGACACTGCAGATGGCAGGCATGCCACATGTTAAACTCTGTTTAGAGGTCCTGAAAATAATTAATGTGTCTAGAGATCATATATACTACAGCTGCATTGAGGAGACACTATTATAATAGTATATGTTAAAGTGTTAACATTCTTGTACTTTTTTATGTTAATTTTATAGGAAACTTCTAGGATGTTTCACTTATATCTCAGTAGTGTTTTTCCCTGGTCTCATAGCATCTTTTACAGCCATTATAACTGAAAAGAAAGGCCGCAGGGGCACTCTAGCACTGTATATGACAAACTTGGTAAGTGACACTAATTCTTACATTCCGAAACATTATCATCAATATGTTTTCAAGCAGACAGTTGGTGACAGTGATGAAAATGGGTTTGTAAATTTCATGAGTTTGAGTTCAAGTTTTGGATTAAAGATAAATTGTTGAATAAGTTACGATTGAGTTATCTCAGTCATGGCTTGAGACTAACCTTTTCACTCACTGGTCCACCAACTGATGAAATGCTAGAGTTGATGGAGCCATGAGAATTGTTAACTAAGCAGATTTTGTACTTGTCAGGTCTTTTGGTAGAGCTGTTATTTTTCGATGCCTTACAATAGCTCGCAAGAGTTGGAATTGAAACTCTTATAACTTATGGTATTGCTCAGGACAAGTTAAGTTGAATGAACTTAGAATGTCTACCTTTTGTTGATCCAAAAATCAAATTGCACATGTGCAGAAGATTGCAGCAGGCCCGGTAACTGAGGTATATTAAACTTTTTTGTTCTCCATCATTTCAGGCTGTCGAAACAAGTTATAACATGCTAAAGGAAAGAGGACTAATACAACCAATTCCTAATGGAGAGGTGAATATTTTTCTCACAACGACTTTTTTCACCTGCCGGTACCACTAATACTGTTACTTCAGTTTTAACCTTGGATTGGCTTCTTACAATGAAACCTCTCTTTACAGACACTTCTGTAATGTGTGATTCTAGAAACTATCTGTAAACACTACAAGGAGTGTTATTGGTAATTCCAAGGGGGAGGGAAATCTCAAAGGCCAAAGTTGTTAAAGGAAAGTATGAATGAAAACTGGAATATCCAGCAGGATTGGGGCGCAGAAGGGTGAAAGCAAAATTCCCTCCGTAAGAGGGTTATGGAATTTTTTTTTGGAGAAACATAATGGGATACCTCTATATGATGGACAATCTCAGAGAAAAAAATCATTTTATTCTCTACCACTAGTGATTCTAGTGTTGATGTGGCTTCCTCTCTAAATACTCCAAAGGAACTTGGCAACTTACTCTAGCAACGTGAATTAGAATAATTATTGTAAGTTCTCACACACCACTGGGAGCCAAGCCAAGCCAAACCACGAAGCCTGACCTTTATTAACATACCAACATAACTGTACTACAATGGCACAAAAATGTGGCTAGAGAATAAATTCACTGCAACTTAATAGACTTAATGGGTGGGGCATGTCAGGCAATAGACTTTCTAAATGTCCTTTCCAATAATATTTCCATCGCTAGTTTCTCCATTGCAATGCGCCAAATTTTACCGGTGGATTTTTCCATCGGTGATGTAAATACACATTAACCAATGAGCAAACAAGTACTGACTATACGTCATGACATCACGCGCGATCAAGGACACAACTTGCAGAGCAAATGTCTGCTGAGTTCAAGTACCACAAAAGTCTTTTTCATTTAGCTTTTGTTCTCCGATATACTTAAGGATATGAATTTTATGGTAGCAGTTGAATATGGTTTATCCAACTTAATTTCAAGTCTTCGAAAGAAGGACAGGGAAAAGCAGTGGAAGGCGTATTTATCTGACCAATACGTGTTTGTTTACTTATGGACGCGATCTGAGCTCCTGCGTGATCTGGATTGTTTCAGAGAATTCAGTTTGGATCTTTCAAAGAAGAACAGAGCCGTTCCAGCAGTTTGTGTAATTGTTGCACTTTTAGTTGATATAATGAATGACCAAGTAACTTCTCTACAAAGAAAGGGCATCGCAGCAAATTTGCCTCGGCCGTTTTGCCATGTTGAAAGCATTTGTTGATTGATGAAGGACTTTTGGGAACAGCGATTTTATTCTCTGCCATTCGTTGTAACTTTGATTCTCAACGTTATTTAATCAAGACAGCTTTACAGAATTAAACTTCTCCCCAACTAATTCCGTCTTTTTTAGTTAATTTGGATTCTTGTCGGTACAAGCCAGATCTACGTAAGTTTACAGCATTTGTCAGGCAGCTCTCTGGTCGATCGCTGGTTAATCTCTAATCTAGACAACCAATCTAGACTGAAATAATTCCTGATCGGTTTAAACACGGTTTTGATTTTTCAGGAGGCGTTACTCAATGGAACAGCTTTTGCTGTTTGTCAATATTGCTGACTACATACTGCACTGTATACAAATAAATTCACTTGAGTTAGGGAACAGTACTTGTAAACATTTTGATGGCAATCATTTTCTGCTTTGCGACGATCGCGCGGAGCACATGAAGTGAGAAATGTCAATCATGTTTTTCGCGCCAAAAATTTACGCTCTGATTCACATTCCTGCAAGTGAAACAAGTCGACCTTTCGCAACCTACATCGCTCGCGCTCACGCTCCTGACTTTGTCGCGCAAAGATTACCCTCTCGCCTTGCTCAATGGAGATAAGTAAGTCAAGGATTAAGAAAAGGTCGACTTGTGGCAAGTCTAGTCAGGCAATGGTGAATGACAAAACAGAAACTGAACCTTGTACTAGCCACGTGACCCGAAACCCCCAATACACTTGTACTCAAACTCCTGAGCTGTGTGTACGGAAAACGTGTTCTGCTTCATTCCATTCCTCAGCCAGCAGAAAACCACACTTGTCAGAGCAAACTGCCAATAATACTTATTTATTAATACTAGAGAGAATACCACAACATTGCAATTAAGTTATGTGAAGAACCTTTGGTTTGACTGTTAAGTTTGCTTTATTGCTTTTCATATAAATGGCATTTGGTATATGAATATTATTGCTCTTATATTTTGGTAGATTCTTTTATTCTGTGTGGCAACAGCCACGATGATGTATCTGTATAGGTAAGTTACTGTCAAACCTGCTATAGCCACAGCAAAATGATTTTCTCATTGTCTGTTCCTCAGTGGCTAAGGGGATGATTCTCCTTTAGTTAAGAAAGTTGAGAAATAACAACAGGGTGTTCAAAATAATATTTAGTAACTAACTTTTTTACAGTTAACCAATGCCAAAATACATGTAGATGTGTATTTGTCCCTTTTCCTTGAGCACTGGAAGATATATTCTATTTGGCCTGTGTTGGCAAAAAAGGGCTAAAATTTCATTTTCTGGGGACTGAAGTAAGTATTGATTTGTGTGACAGGAACTTACTCGATGCTCACAGTTTCTCACTGTTAAGACTGTCTGAAATATAATCAGCTTTGACTGCATTATCGCGTCAACCCTTGGTTATAGTTATAGAACAGAAAAATAACAGACTTGTGAAAAAAATAGAGGTATGTTATATTATGCAATGATTAGACTTCATTCAGGCAAGATTTAATATTTAGAGTAATTTCCTATTTCACACCTCCTCTAGCCGAGGCCTGCATTTGAATTAAGATAACATCACAGGTTTTGAAGATTTATAACTACCCAGTTAGGCCAAATTTTTTCTAACCTTTTGCCCCAGTACCATGTCTTGAAAATGATGTGCCCTTAAGAAACAAGAATCTTCTGGCCTTCCATTGACAACAAAGAAAAATGTTTAAAATGTTCGGGTAATATTTTTCTGGTCTGGACAGAAATTGATTCAAGTGATAAGTATAAACATGTGGACATTATCATGTTTAGCTTTATCAATTTCCATTTTCTCTTTATTAGGAAGAAGGATGGTCTTACAGATGGACTTTTAAATAATCTAGTTAGGTATGTTATTCATTGTAACGAAGGAAGGATCCTCAAAAGTAATAATATTAAGTACACCTAGTTTCTGTTAACTAAAAGGAGACTTTAGTAGGTGATGAGGCCAAATGATTTAGGGTGCTAGATTCAAAATCTGGAGGTCCCTGGTTTAAATCTTCCATCCTTCTGCTGTCTGGATTTGTTCTTAGTAGTCCCAAGTTCAACTCCTCAACTGTGTTGTGTAAATAGCCAACTGGTCAGCCTCTCACCAGTTGGGATTCTTGATAGTTTGTGTTCTATGTGCAACATTTGTTTATTTATTTGCAGTGTCCCCGATTAGTATAACAGTAGTAAATACATTTGACACTTAAAGTAATTTGTCTTTCTTTTATTTATTTATTTATTTTATTACTCGGGCTTTCCAAAGGAAACGTCTGAGGTATAAATTCGGCTCCATTTTTTTTTTTTTTTTTTTTT